GTGTGAACAAAGCCTAATTTATAGTTCTCATAGCACTTTGTTTTGTTTATAATGTTTGTTTGCAAAATCATAAAAGTTTTCAAGATCTTTCTAATCTTATGCAATGTGCGTCAAAATTCGGTCGAATTCGGTAAAAGTTCCATTCAATAATTATCTGATGTTATTTAGTTCTAAACCTCGAATACTGCATTTCCAGCTTATGCACTGGTACACACTGTACCTCAGCCATCATTTCTGCGTTTGAACCTATAATATTATTAAATGGGCGACAGCCTGAATCCTGTACAACTTAAGACGACCCTGAGTAAAATCTAAAAAAAATTGGGTTTAAAGCGAAGCTCGAGAATTCAATAACACAATTATTCTATTCGCTCTTGTTGGATACAGGATCGGCCTGCTAGCCAACTCGGCTTGGGGTCCTCTGGAGAACAAGGAGTAAAGCTCATTACAACTTATTAAACCTGATAACTCTTTGAAAACAAAAAGTACAACAGGAAAGCTATCTTGATGTTTCTTCAATCTTAAATCGGTTAATTGCCAATAGCATGGCTAATCGTGGCAATGGGTGGTATAATTAGGCAGTGGGTGATGACAGATGGCTGTTGGCTGTGGACTGAGACACGAGCAAAGACAGAGCGATAACAGCAGTAAATGGAAGACCGTTCCACACATGTATACACCGGGCAAAAAAAGAATGCATGTAGGCATCAACAGAGGCGGGTTAAAGGTTGCATGTCGCACTATGGGACTTCCTGGTACCATCCCATGTGTCCTGTCTTCGAAATGAAGTTCTCATGCAAGGATTTAAACTAATTAACAAAACATTTAAGTGAGGAATGCTTAGTTCCCCAGAATTAAAGCTCATATTAGCACTAACAAGTTACCATGTGAACTCCTATTCACAGGTTGACGGGAAATCGCGCAATTCCGTATTATCTGGTTGTGATTCCTCCCTCAAATCACACCGTGGGAATGTCTGGAGGTGAAGATTACATCCCGAAGAATTTTATTGATCAGTACAAGATCACGACGCAAGAGATCGTGGTGACAGCTGTACTGGACATAACAGAAAACGTGGTACTGTACGCCTTTCCACTCTACCAGATGTCTGTTCTCAAAAGTTGTTTGAAAAGAGTACTGGAGATGGTGGAAGACAGCGATTATGGAGCACAGGAAACCCACTTGGACGGAACTACATCTGGCGATAATGCAGCACAGGGAATCCACTCAGACGATACTACCTCTGGCGATTATGAAGCACAAGGGACCCACTCAGAACATACGGCTTCTTGGGAGGAAACGCCTAAAACGATATTTAGAACGAGACAAGAGAAGAAAGACTTCACGAATTGGTTCCGCACTACGTGTATTTCTGGTGTTAAAGTTCTTGGTAGAGAAGTTAGTTTTCTCTGGGCCTTGGTGTTGACCTTCTTTGGTCCCTTTGTTGTGGTGGTGGTGAATTTGATGTTTAAGCACATTCACGTCGAATCTCCTTGGCATTAACAAGGAAATCGATAAAGAAGACAAAAACGCTGGCCAAACTTGTTCAATGTCACCTGCGCAATGTAGTTTTTCCTAACTGATTATAGGTTAAACGATTGCCGGTCATGTCGCTACGCAGTTCAGTTGATTTCGAATTTCGCTCTACAGTTGTATTTTGAAATTGATGCACGCCGTGATGGTATTGCGACCCAGTTTGTTCCTTACACAAATACTGTGGTGCACAAAAGAGGGCACAACTTTTCAGGCCAATTTCAGTACTTAGACAGCGTTTTCACTCACGTGACCAGTATCTCTGCAAATTTATTGGAACAAAAGAAAGCGTTTACATAAGAAAAGAGTTCAACTCCCCCAGGACTGGTTTGGAACACCAACATGGCTGCCGTTTTATTGTTTTGGGAGACCAATCGGCCTAAACCCCTTGGGGAGACCTTATAAAATTTACACAACGTCGTATTCTTTATTGCTTCTACACTACACTTAGATGAAATTTCTAAGTTTTTTAACATTTCTGCTCAGAAAATGTTCATGAAAGTGCTAAAGTGTAAGTCTCTTCAATTTTTAAGGAAGAAAAAAAATTAAGAAGAGCAGGAGTAAGAATCGAACCCGGAATGCAGTGTCTTTACCACTACGCCAATGAAGAATTTCTGGCGAGCATTGGTTTGATTTGAAGCTATATAGCAACAACCCTAACCCTAAATAGAAGCTAACGTTTTGAGTCAGTGCTTAACCCTAATCACTATTTTCAGGGCTTAACCCTTATCACCATAGTCAGTGCTTAACCCTGATCACTATAGTCAGTGCTCAAAACCAAAGCGATAAGGAATACTAGGTTGTGTAAACTTCATAAGGTGTCCAAGGGGGCAAGCCGCTGTTTGGAAAATGAGCCCGCACTCCTCTCTTGAGGAGGAACAAAGCGCGACGGAAATGGACACTATAGGTTACTTATCATGCTTATAGAATGAGAAATTGGCTTAGTTAACGTCGTAGCGGAAGGATTGCACAGAAAAAGAACTTTGTAGCAAAAAGACCGGACACCAGTCAAACATATAGCTAAGCATAATATTTACTATACCATTTTGCGCAATTTAGTTCCAGGTTTCCATTAGAGTAACGGATGATTTAAGAAGCCGATAATGTTGTGAATAATAATCATAGCTGATAATGATGATCAAGGACATGATGATGATAATGTTGACAACAAATAAATATTGGATGTGGTTTTTGTGATATTCGGAATAATCAAGGTCGAGGTAAAAGAAAGTGTTATCAGCCGAGTCAAAAGGTCAAAGCTGATAACACTTACCGAGACCTTGATTATTCCGGATATCACAAAAACCGAATCTAATAATTGTTTTATTACACATTGTTTTGAAGAAAATAGGGAGTTTACGCAACGATGACGACGACAGCAACGAGAACGGCAAAAAAGCAATAGGTTTAGACAAGCAAAACAACAACTTTGTAAGTGCATCACGCTTTTTTGTACATTTCTCTTCTGTCGTTACACGACTACAACGTGAAACTGCCTAATTTCACGTTTTGTCGAGGACGAGACCAAAAGACAACAACAGCGGAACATGTTTTCGGTCGAAGTTGGAAATCATGCATTTTGCGTGCAACCTACAGATTAGTCAGGTGACCAGCTAGCAGATAACTAACTAATCCGTAGGTTGCGTAGTCTCAGCTGTCGCAGTAGTCGCAGGTGTTTTTAGGGTAGTCACTGGGGAGGAGCGTTGCGTGACGACCCAAAAAACGGCTGCGAAAGAGACTATAGGTTGCGCTGATTTCCAAAATTAACTGCAGGCTCTTAGCCAATGGGAAGACATTGGCAGATAATGAGTACAATGTACTGTATACAGTCAATTCTCTCGTAAGGGACCACCCTTGGTGTACGACAAAGTGGTCGCTTACGGGAAGTGGTCGTCTATGGGAAAAATCAAGACAATAAGTCAATCCCTCCAAGAAGGGCACCACTGGAACCGACATGAGTGTCCTTTTCAGAGAGATGTCGGCTTTACAGCACTGAAGAGAGGAAGGGACCACGCCCAGACGTCTAGACTTCCTAGAAGTTTGTCTTATAGAGAGTTGACTGTAGTTGTGAAAATATACAATATTTGTAAAATAATGTAAATAATCATTTACAACAAAGTTGAGCCTGCTTATTGCCAACGAGCAGCCTCGCGGGGCGGCAGCATAATAAAGCCGTGCGCTCAAGTTCCAAGGCAGAATGAATCTCGAAGCGATGTAACATAAGGTAGTGTAAGGTAACTTTGATGACGTAATGCAGAACAGAGAATGCATTGTTTTCGAGCGAACACGTACGCGAAAGTTCCAAGGCAGAATGGGTCTCGAAGCGATGTAAGGTAAGGTAGTGTAAGGTAACTTTTATGCCGTAATGAAGAACAGAGAATGCACTGTTTTCGAGTAAACACTTAGGCGCAAGTTCCAAGGCATTCGAAAAGCAGAATGGGTCTCGAAGCGATGTAACAGAAGGTAGTGTAAGGTAACTTTTATGACCTAATGAATCACGGTGATTCATCATATTTCTAAACAAATTGAACAGCGCGCACGTATAGGTAAAATCTTTGTTCGTTAGCACTTAAGAGATAGCTATAACTAGTGGTTACACAAGTCCCTAAAGTAAGTCATGACTATGGAGACTAAATAATCTCCAAATAACAACCTGGTAATGTAGAAAAATAATTTGCTTGTCTTAAAATGAAGTCTTGTTTTCACCTTTTTTACCTTGTACATAATTTGTCTCTCAGTTATATAACCTCATTTACAGTGCAGATTTTTTAGAATGACAGTGTTTGAAGTGGGTAGCTAAAGTTTTTCCTATGTTTTTTGTTTGTTTACTTCAGTGTAAGAAAAGAGCATACAATAAAGGTGTTTTTTTATCTGATCTTTTATCCCCAGTCTATTAGAAGTAATCTTTAATTATTCTTACAGAGCGTGCCTTTAGACGGTGAGCTCAGATTTAGTGAGGGGAGTGCACGCGCGCGCGAGTGTCAAGCTGCAAAGCCGCGAGGCGCAAGAAACGAGGGGGACCGAAGAAAGAGGCCATCTCTTGCTTTCAGAATAATACCCTTGGTCATTTTCGTCTGTCGCGCGTTTCGCTTGACGGACCAAGAAAAAAGAGAGAGACTGTTCGTGGTCTAGTGAGCCTGCAAATGTAGCTGAGAGCAAGCTCTCCTATTTGGTCGAGCGAAGCGAGCCGCGAGGAGCCGAGGAAAGGAGATCCTTTCTCTCTCTCCTAACCCTATCCCCTCTCGCTCTCGCGTCTCCTCTCGCGTGCCTCTCGCGTGCCTCTCGCGCGTCCACTTTTCACGATATCCCTCAAATGGAGAGTTGCTCGCAGGCTACTGCAAATGTAACTGTACTTCCAAGTGTCACTTCTCTTCATCTGACAATGGTGTGTGCTTATGCACACTAACAGACGGTCTAAGGAGTGATGGGTCGAATTTTCACTAAGCAAAATACCTTTATTTTCACTAGCAGGCCATGTTGAGAGACATTTTACTCACCAGTGACAATTAGAAAAGATCTTTCTGCAACTCGTCTAGCAGGACCCATATTGGATGGACCTCTGGAAATCTCAGACTCGAGTGGTACATTACCAGGACAGGGCACCCAAGATTTAGCATCATCAGGTTTGCAGAGTGAAAAAGAACACTCTTCGCTTGCTGTGAGTTTAGAAAATAATATGCGTAGGGTTTGTACACTTCTTCCGACGTAAAAGGACTTTTCAAAAATTACTTTTCCACAATGAATGAAAGAGAATTTCAAGGACTTTCAAGGCACTGAAAAAGGACTCTAGAAATCCAAGGGTTTTTAATCAAGACGCATACGAACCCTGTATTTATATAAAGTTGAACTTTAAAATGAATTTCAGGTATGGCTTAGTTAAACTACGGTAAAACGGGCAACATAAACGTGTAACTTGTTTTGCAACATTGCGGCAAAACAAGTTGAACGGCCATGTTGCATATTTTACCACCCACGTTTAAACCCGTATAGCGACAAATCTGGTTGTTACAAGTTGCATGAATACTGACTTCTGATTGGATAAAATTATGCTGGAGTCACGCCATACATGGGAGTTAAATCACTTGCTACAAAACTAGTCATGTCACTCAGGTGAAAGTACCCCTGAAAATCAACTACTCATTGGTCTCTTGTGCAAGCATTTCTACTTGCATTTTCTGTGTAAGACTTGTATATGTAAAAAAATGCATAATTTGCAAGCTTGATGTGCCAATCATTCTTCACAGGCTTTGTTTCTGTAAGGCCAGATTGTCTCACACTGAAGCTCCAATAGACCTTATATACACAAGGCTGTGCTCTAAGGAAAAATGAAGAGAGCCCAGTTCTCTGAACCTGTGAAATCCAGGGTGCCCAACACATGATGTCTATGGAAATTCTGAGATTTTCTAGTTGCCCAGGAGGAAAATTAGGTGCCAGGGGCCACTGGGGGCTGCTAGAGCACAGTCTTGAAGAATGCCCAAAAATTGGGGAAATTGGAAAATTCTTATCAATACCCTGTACTCGACACTCTGATATATTTTTTTTATAAATAAACCTTGTATTTTTGACCCATTGAGTGCACCTCATTGAGTCTTCATTGCTTCAATAACAGTAAAGTGAAAACTTACTAAGATCCTTCTCCATGGGGTGAACTAACGGTAGTTAAACTTGACTGGCAAGAACGGTGTATTGTCCTCTCTATCGTCCGAGAAACTCCGTCTCGGATCGGTGTAAAAGTCACCAGTACTGTTGTACTAACCTTAGTTTCACCTACAGTACTGTACTTGAGCGGAAAGGGATAATCTGTTGCATAATACGTACACCTCTTAATCCTGGGGAAAAAAGGAGTGATCAGAATCAACTTTCTCCAAACAATATCAATACAAAATCAAGGACTAGAGGTTGCAAGAATTTATAAAATGATCACCATGTGAGGGGAATATTCTTTGATCTTTTATCAAATTCTCTCAACAAATTCTTTAAGAAATGTATGAAGATTAGTCTGGAGAATTTTTTTGTAGATATCAAGCCTTAAGAATTCTAGAACGTTATTAACTTATTCTTCTTCTTCTACATAAATCAAACACTTGAAACAGTCTTTCATCCTATTTTAGACACCTTTAACCCCTTCACTACCAGAGTACTTGATGGAGTTTTGTCAGGCGACTCTAACTTTTGAGTCTGCAGACGAAGTCCTATGATGTGACCATTCAAATGAAAGCTCTCCGCATGTACTGTCACATGATGCTATTTGTTTGTCAAAATTTTGGAAAATGAAATGTGGAAATTTGGTCGAAATTTGCCTTTGGCCACATTTGGCAGTGAAAGAGTTAAGATGGTCTAAAAAGGTTTTAGCAGTATCTCAATATTTTAACCCAGCTCATGGTGTCTGGATTTTGGCCAATGAGATGAAGTTTTTTGTGTTTGATAATTAAACTATAAGACCAAAACTAATTGACCCTATTTGGCATCATGCATGTAAGGTCCATCCTTCATCACCTCTTTACCTGTACTTGCGACTGGATTGTAGACAGAAAGTCGGAACTTTCCATTCCCTGCAATGTTTCTATCTACAGTTCCTTTTGTATATTTGTATTTCTCAGTTCCAACAGAATCACTACATTCCCCATTTCTATCTGAGTGGCAAGCTGAAACATCAGTGTGATGGAATAAATAATTAGTGCTGAAAGTAAGACAAACATAATTTCTGGATTTCAACTGCAAAACTGCTTTAAGGATGGATTGGCTGCAAGACAGGGCTCAAAAAGAACGTTAGGTCACGGAGTCCAGCTAGATTTTCTTGTCATGCAAGAGCCAGTGCAAGTCACCAGAGACCAGTGGGGGCTGCAAGATTATATACTGATTTAGCAACAGAATGGGAATGTCTGTTGATGACGGCACATACAAATCAAACAACTGGCTTGACCAATGGCAAAGCAGCAAATGCACACTGGAATAAGTTGTGTTTAGTCCTCTCCGTGCGCTTTCTCATTGTCAACTGACATTCCAATTCTGTTGCTAAATCAGCCTAATATTAACCCAGACTGCCAGGATCATTTCTCATTCCTGTCACTTGTTCTTGTAAGAATGATTTGTAAGAATTTAAACTAGAAATCAAAAACAAGAATCTCCAATCACTTACACTTTAGGGTGGTTACAGCATAGAATAAATCTGGACAACAAACTGCATTTCACAGTAAATTTTGACAAGTAAAAATGGATACTTCCCGCAACTAAAAAACAATTATATTAACACAAGAAAACATTCATGTTCTTACTTGGTGCTGAAGCATATGTTCCAGCATTCTTGGCATGGCTAACAGCAAACTTCCTCATGACAGGGTCATTAACAACACCTCCATCATTAGTCTTGTATGTATCCCACCACCAATGCTCCTTATTAGGTAACTCTGAGTAGGTGACATTGGTTCTTTGTTGCCTTAGGAGTCGGAACATGCGACGACTGTAGTAAGGGTGCACTGTTTTATCAGCTGCACCAATGCGTATCATAATTGGTATTCCCTACATGACAAATTGACAGTACTAATGAGGTTTTATAGACATATGTCAAACCTTTCCACAAGAGCCACCTTAGACGGGAGCAGAGATAAATAGTTGTTTATTAAAGCATATTACTTTTTTAACTAGGCTCGATTACCAGCCACTGTTCGGGAAATGAGCCCGCACTCATACCCCCCGAAAGAGCTCTCTCAGAAGCAAAGATGTTTGATTATAATGCATAATTATGATTAAAAAAACTGCTTAGCAGCTTTCACTTGAATAGTGACCTGGAATTTTATTCAGAGCCAAGCTTAGTAGCTTTCAGTCAAATAGCTAGTCACAGCAGATTCTCTAAATTTTAGTGTAACCAGGGCTTGCAATTAACGCTCACAAACTCGCAAAATGCGAGTGATTTTCAATGATAATCTGTGAGTGAGAAAAATATCTACTAGCAAACATTTGCGAGTTAGTCTGAATCATCCCAAACAAAGCAAAAGAATTTGCTTATATAGTGGTCTCACCAGTTTGCTAGTGGAAAAAATCTTACTAGAAAAACTCTGCAAGTGCACTAAAGAGTTAACTTCGAGCCCTCGTAACATTAAGTGTAGTAATCCTAGATGTGTAAAGGATAACTTCATATCTCACAAATATTGAGGAAAAATGTAACCAGCCATTACATATACAGGCTGCTGTTACTTACATGTAAATTTGACACATGTTTGTCTGGGTCATTTTCTGCAATGCACACCTCCAAAATGGCTTTAACAGCTGGCGAGGTGTGACTTGTACTGATATCATGGCGAAAAAACAAGTTAGAATCACCATAATCTTCTTTTTTGATCCAACCAGCAGCAGACACTAGAGCCAGGGCGTGGTCAGGATAGTGGGTACCAAGATGCCTAATGAGGAAACACATCTGTAATATTATAATGAAGTTTGAAAACATGACAACATCACTTTCAAAGAAATAATGAGTTGTACCAAAACTATACTTTTCCGCCGAGGAAGACACAAAAACTTTGGTTTTATCAACTGACTTTAAATGAAAAAAAATTCAAACACTGAATTTTGCATATGCCACTATTTTGTTAGGACTAGAGCAAAATCAGTTAAGAATAATATAAATTTATAGTCATGGTGAAATAAGGAACTAGACAATACATAAGATCTATCAACTCAGTGATAGAATTAGAGCACTAGTATGTCACAACATTGATGTTAATGTTTTGTTCTCTCAATACTTTTGGTGAAGAATTATTAAATTAATGTCATGAAATGGATGGACTTTTATTAAATTTTAAAACCAAGTGTTTGAGTTTCACTTCCCACCCCCTCCACCACCCCCCATCCCAACCCACAAAACCATCAACAGTTTCATTTGAAAATATGCACTTCATTCTTCCCCTGAGGAAGGTTTTATTGAATATACAAAAGTCATGTAAACCTACTATGCCATAAAACTCCTTTCAAGAAAATGATGTATTGTCCTAGTTACCAAGTCCAAGGTGGAATAGACGGGATGATAACTTAACCCCAAAATGCTAGTCCAGTAATAAAATAGGTATCTGCTGTCTTGACTAACTGTCCTAAATGACCATTTCTAAGCAACTACTAGCAGCCACTAGGTCTTAGCATTTTGGGCAGTCACTTACAGGACATCACTGTATTCCCTAAAACAAGCAGGGATGTCACTAACAAAGGGCTGGGAGCCAAGTATTTACCACCAGTAACAATGAGCAAGACCTCTGGCTAAATTTCATGAAAGACCAATGGAAAATACATGGAGAACCAAATTCAAGGCTGTTCAATTTCCTGCCTTCTAATAATTGCACATACACTGAAACTTGAAATCTTCATGACAGCCCTGACAGGGTATATATTTTCAATTACATAAATTCATATTGACCATCGGATATTAAAACAAAATTAAATGCACAAAAACTGAATACAATCAATGTTGTATTAAACAAAAAATTTACCATGCCCCATGCCCACCCATGGAGTGTCCAGCAAAGATGATGCGGTCAAGATCTGCTTGAGGACCAATCCAAGGAGCATCTTTTATAAGCTTGGCTAAGCTCTTTAAGGCCATCATTGATGTTAGCTCTCCTGGCCCTTCCCAGTTATGAGCCCCATGCCTGGTAGGAGCCAGAAGCCAAAGATGTTCAATGCCAAACACCCACTTGCCATTCTCCATTCGCTTGTAACTGTCTGCTTGATTCTGAGGAGGGACAGCTAGAGAAAATAATAAAAACAGTAGTAAACTGTATGCAAGAATGGAGTGAAAAAATGATTACCGGTACATGACAAAGATTAACTTGAGAAATAATATTATATTATTATGGGACCTGTTGGGATAATTGGAAAGGGTAAGACTAAAAATGCTTTTTTGCCAAAAATTATCAGCATGTTAGTGCAAATTGGTGGTAAGATATGAGCACCACCTTGCACTTTTATACTCTGTACAAATCAATCCTTCTAACATTGGTTTGAGCCATGTAGCCTGCACCAAAGACATAATCTAACCCTCATTAGCGAAATCTGTGAAGCAGCGCAAAGATCATTGTTCAGGACCCTTACAGACTCAACGAATTACTGGAAGTGGCATTCAAATTTCTCTCCAACATGATAAATGGGGGAGCTTATCTTTGGGTCAGTTTAAAAGTGATGTAAGAAAGAGATTTCTACTGATCTTTGGGAATTCCTTGAACTGGTAAGAAATACATTGCTCAAAACACTCATTTTAAAACTGTCTTCTCATTGGCTAAGAGCCTACAGGTAATTTTGGAAATCAGCGCAACCTACTGATTAGTTAGTTATCTGCTAGCAGACAACTGACTAATCTGTAGGTTACAAGTGCAATGCATGATTTCCAGTAACAATATCAATTCACGTTCCTTGTGATGGTGTGTTTGTTGTTATTTTCTTCAAAACAATGTATAAAAAAACAATGATTCAAAACAATCAAGGTCTTGGTAAGTGGTGTTATCAGCCGAGCCGTAGTGTAGTCAGCTGATAACACTTACCTCAACCTTGATTACTCCTGATATCACAAAAACCTCATCCAATAATTGTTCAATATTTTGCATGTACATGGACCTATAAGCAGAGGGACCTAATATATCCGCAGCTGGGTGGATTATTAAAAGAACCAAGAATTTCACGCTGTATTGACAGTAATAATTTATATATATGCGCATACATGTGCATGAACTATACTGATACCATACTTGTTCCATGTAGAGTCAATAAAACAGGACAAATTCCAGAATCACATCCTTTCAAAGGAGCAATTGCCGCACCATGCTGAACAGAGCCATCATGATCCAAAAAAGTGAACAAAAATGATTCACTGAGTTTACGAGACCTCAGGTTTATTGCCAACTTTTGATCCTGGCCTTTACTGGTGCTTATCTTCAAGATCAATTCTATTTTAGAACAAACACCTTCTTCACTTATTGTTTCCTTTCTATTCTTGTAATCCAAAAGTATCTTGATTGGACGTACTTGTCCTGGAGCTATCGAAAAATCCCTGTCTTCCTCTAAGATCTTCACAGTAAACTGATGTCCAGGACAAGAATTTTTCACGATTGAAACTTTGGTTACTTTTAGCCATAAAGCACCATGGAAATTGTTGACGGAGAAGGTTATATGTTTAGAAAAGAGCTTGCCTTCGACCAGATCTGGTAAAAATGCTGGAGCTAATACCTGAAAGGTCTGTTTTGCTTCCAAGGGTTTTATGTTGCAAGTAAAAGTGAAGGGTCCTTTATGTCACTACACTTCCATATTACACACTTAGGGGGACCTCTCAACTTGTCTACTGGACCATTTCGTTTTCATTCCCTTAATTTCCTCGACTCAGTGCTTTAACTCGGTATAATGTTTTACGGGCAATTTAATTCTCGAACATAAAAACAACCACTTAACACATTAAAGGAAGGTTGAAATAACACAACAGATACAACAGATTCCATGGATGGGCAAAACTGAAGAAGATTGAAACGGATTGAAATTAGGGTTTTTGAAAGCTGTTCAGCCTGACAGTTTTTCAAAGTTTATCTCTGCTGTTTGCAATTTCAAAAATAATGCTCAGGAGACATATTTGTTCGTCTCGAATTTCTGATTTTGTTGTTTACATGAAATTTCTTTGCTTACTTTAAGTTCCATAGTGATTCATTGAGGGCGAGTGATTGGCAAAATTAAACAAAATGAACAGGACTGCCATGACATAGCCCCTTTAATTGACCTAAAATCTACTGATGTATTAAACATCCTAAAAGCAAAGTTGCAGAGCACATCATAATTCATTGCATCCAGCTATTTTGAAAAAGGCTGTGGGAAAAATGTGCAGTTGACAATCCCAAAAGGTAATACGGGATATGATCAATACACTGTTCCAAATGACTGTAGCTGTCAAACCTCCTTTTGTTGCTTTCCATTAATACTCGCAAACACATGTCCATGGCCTCTAGTGCATTCTTTCAAATTTCTTTGAAGAACAGTTCACTCCAAACTACCCTCAATGCCTTTCGGGATTCTCATGTGCACTTTTTCCAACAACCTTTCTCAAAATAGCTGTATGCAGTTGCATTTTATATTTGCCAACCTTTTATTCTATCATCATGGCACAAGAAGGCAGTACTAAGTATAATCATAAAGAATATCAAAGAGACATAAACCGCCAACATCCAAAGTAAAAATATAGAGTTCAACTGGCCTGAAACTCACATGTTAGCTGATTAAATATGTTAGATACCATGTATTTAAAATTATGCAACTGGATTTTGGAAGAACACCAAATTTCTTGATGGAATACAGGATTTGACCCCTACTCTACTGGGGAGCAAAGGATGGCACAGTGGTGGGAGCGCTCGCCTCCGACCAATGTTGCCCGGGTTCAAATCCCGGCATCGAAGCCATATGTGAGTTGAGGTTGTTGTTGGTTCTCTCCTTTTTTTTGAGAGGATTTTCTCCGGGTACTCCGGTTTTCCCCTCTCCTCAAAGACCGACATTTCCAAATTCCAATTTGACCAGGAATCAGGTAGACAAAGAACCCCTTTGTGAATGTGCTATCTCCAAATCATATTTCATTTATTTATTTATTTACTTATTTACTCGAGAAGCGAGATTGACCAAAATATGGACATGGATTAGGATCCTGTATAGTGGGAAAGAAAACGGTATTCGGTATAGAGATAACAGAAGTTCAGGGTGTGGTGTTGTCATGACACCCCCACCCCCCGCCCCATAACCCTTGCACGTGCACTCCAAGCGTTGTAACTTACCAGAACTGATCTCTTCTATAAACATCTCCTGTTATCATTGCTTGATCAATGTAAACAGTATGGACTCCAAGACACTGAATCACAACTGTTGCATCTTCTTCATTGACAAAAAAATCCCCCATAGCCCATCCTTGCCATTCAGTGACACCTAGTGATTGTAATGACATCACCAACTCATTCCAATTAACATTTGGCACAATAGCCACTGGTTCAGAAGCTCTGTGTTGGTTTATTTCCATCCATGTTATCTCCCCTTGAGAAACCAACTCTGAGTATAACACAAACTTTTTCTCCCATCTGAACATTGAGACATTTTTCACCCCACCCCATTCCTCCAAGGGATCACCATCTACTTCCGGCTTTCCGATTATGAATGGTCCCATAAAATGCCACGTTTGTATGAATTTAGATAGCTTTCCGCCGTGTTTTGTGGCTTCCTTAAAACATGTGTTTGCAGCCTTTGTCTTTCCGAGTATATTAAATGATTCGCCTAGCATACTCCAAAAGATAGCGTCGCTCGAGGCTTGTAATGCTTTTAAAAGGCAAACTGTGAGCTGGTCCATTGAATTCTTGGCCCGTAATTTCATGATATATTCCTTCTTTGTGCTTTTGCAAGAAACATGAGACCATTGTTGGCTTTCCTTTTCCAAGAAGTTTGCAGTTGAAGACGAACTTTTTGATTTTGTAGAAAAAGAACAATGAATCAAAAACAGAACAGTCAAAATGTAGATAAATAGCCTGCAGGCTCTATTTGGCGACATTGTCAACGTGGAGGTATTTTTGACATATTCTTCTTTCCAGCCACCGAACGGAAAGTTTTCAACAAGGCGTTACAGGCAAGTACTGTCGAAGGTCAGTGCAAACAAAAGCCGAGGACTGGTCACTAGCCTTTTTCTACGGGAGGAGTGGCTAAGGCTGGGGCTGGACATGCCAGTGTGCAGAACTTCAAGAGTACTTTTAGCAGTAGTAACTATTTCATAGCTATAACTTGCTTTAATGGAAAGCAATAAAACTTGTAGTTTTGAAGTAAAAAAATATTGTCCTTCCTCGTCTTTCACTGCCTAATGGTTATTTCTCCCATGAGAGGGGAGGGTAGAAAACCTTGTAATCAACTTGTACTTGTAAAAGATAATACTTAGCCCAATAATCATAGTTCATGTTTTTAATTTTAGTGTTTTCGATTGTGACAAATCGTTTCATTTTCCCACCCAAAATTTTCTAACCCCTGCTACCGTACTACACGGAAGTCACGTGAACTGAATCGACAAATCACAAACTGCAGAAGATCCCTCGTGACTTTTCATAGCTCAGCTGGTAACTTTCCCGAAATAATTTTTCGCTGATATTCACGAAACTGTAATTTAAAGGCGCTGAATTTGCATTCCTCGCCATGTCTTCACCCCCGAAAGAGAAGGATAAAGATTTGAAAGCTGGCCACCCTCCGGCAGGTTGTTAGAGAACTATTGTTTTCTCGAATCGATAGTTTTGTTGGCCAGCCATGTTTCTCACGCAATAAACGAATGCAAATACACACGACGATAATTCTACGTACTTTTATTTTGTTTTGTTATATTTTGTTTTTAGTGAAAGCAGGAGGGATGAGAATAACCTCAAAGCATCATCATCCTCAGCACCCAGCTCCCACGCCAGAGGAGAAAGCAGAAGAGGAAGAATTTGCAGAACCCAAAGAAAAGTAAGTTCGCGTACGTGCGCCCTTTCTTTCAACGTGTACGTACACGTTTTCGAATTAGTACAGTTTGTAAAAAGTGAAACGTCACCATTAAGAGCATAGTTTTCATCAATAAGAATTCAAGAAACAAAAATAAATTTTTTTCATACGCTTGTTTTCGCGTCGTTTCATAACTTCTTTGCGAGTTCAAATATATCACGAAATTTTCTCTGGTGACGGCCACGTGTGGAAGTTGCGTTGCGTGACAGGTGCAAGTGAATGAGACAACCTAAATGGTCGAGTTATCACCAAGTTCATTTTAAATATTTTGAGGGCCTCATCTCGTTTTTGAGGGATGAGGCGTTCATATTAGTAGGAGGCAGGTGAATAACAATAAGGTTCAAAGGGTAGCAGCTTAGGGTATCCGGTCGTTTCGCCTACGGGTCGTTTCGCCCACGGTCTGTTCGCCTACGAATAGAGTCGATTCGCCTACGTCTTATACGTCAGTTCGCCTACGAGTCAGATGTTGAAGCTTTAAATCGGAATTATTAAAAGTCCTTGTTCCTTGTATTATTCCTTCCATTTTATCCTCGATGGCTAGAAAAACAACGCGCTAAAACATCTAAGTTCGAATGTTTTTAAAAACTTTATTATGGCGGAACCCGGTCGTGTGAAAGATATTTTGCTTAAAATGATTTAAGAAACGTGCGATTGTAAAACTGAGCATTAAGATGTGTATTAAAATGAAATTAACCACCGTTTACGGTCTTTGTGTGGTTGTGTAAAGCGCGAGCAGAGCAGTAAACAAACCACTGTTTACGGTCTTTGTGTAGACTTGTGAAGCGCGAGCGGCGCCTAAACTAAAGAAAGTGAGACTTTTCATTAACATATACGAAATTAGCTTCGGCTTGACTTGACAGTCGGTTCAATTTCTGCGTTGATTTGGCGGGCGACTTGTTGAATCTTTTATCTCTATAAACTAGTTTATGTATGTAATGTGTCCTGGTATTCTGAGTTACTCCGTTTGCGTACTTTCATCTAACAGACAAATAATATAAAAACTTAAAGCGTCCTTTGTGTAGACTTGTGACTTGAGCGGCGCTCATACTAAGGGAGGTGAGAGTTTTCATTAGCATACATAGTACTTACCACAAAATTAGCTTGTTCACACTACACAGCTTGATGTAACTTTTTATTTCGATGTTGCGGCTTGTTAAATCGGTAATCATAGTCATATACTTCGGACTGAGTAAGATAAATAAACGTTCGTGTTCACGTTTGGACTTGGTTCAAATAACCAAGGTTTAGATTAAAGTAACAACCTACACAAAAGAAGGTGGGACTTTTCCCATTAACACAATCAATTCCAAAGGACATTGTTTAACATAGATCAATTAGCAAAGGATTACAAAATAATATTAGCATTCACCAATCACAACGCTGCGATTTCGATCCATCGGAGAAGGCATTGACAGTATAAAAGCCCTAGTATTTTATTCTCATGTCACCAGTTCGTTAGAACAACACTATTCGAAAAGTCAATCTACGCTAATAATCATCGATATCATGGAGGAATTTTACTGTATCTTTTGTGCTGAAATCGTAACCTCCCACCAAGAGGCCCTACTCTGCGGCGGATGCGACAGATGGCAACACCGTCGTTGTCACACTGGCGTTGACCGAGCCACATATCGACAGGCAGTAAGGACCGGCCAGGACATTTTATGGACTTGCATCTATTGTACAGACGAGACACCAGTACCGGTTGCTGCTAGTTCGATGATCAATACAGGTATATAATTTTTTTGTTATCTCTTAAGGTTGATTTCCAGCACTGTGTAATTTTAAGGCGAAAATATTTCATGCGCTATATTGAATGATTTAATCATTGAAGTAACTAATAGCTAATATATGTGCTTAAAACCAACAGACTCGAGTACGCCTTCTGCTCTACCAGAGTTGTCTTTACCCGTTTCATCGCCATCAGACCTCGGAACAGTCATGGAAGTGACTATGTTGTTAGTTAAAACAAGCCGGTTAAGTTTATGATTTCAAGATTGTCAAGTATGAAAATTAGGCTAAGTTTTCTTTGGTTGTCTTTCCTTTAGGTTAAGTTGCACATTAATTTAGGGCAGCTAAGTTTAGGTAGAATAAGGCTGGAATTTCGAACTTAAGGCGAAATAGATAAGCATCGAAGTTAAGCAAGGGTTACATGTGAATTATTTTATCAAGGGGCGGGTGTCACTAGGACAACCCACACGTTCCCGCATGTAATAAGTGTATTAGAATTAACACAGAGTGCGGAGGAATAACATGTTTTGTAGTTAAATTTTATGATCGCTGACGGTTTGAATGTCGATTATACAGTAAACACAGCTCGGTAAACTTTTTGCTTCGCCTACCGTCACAAAGAACTCCTCTGCGCCCTGTGGAATTAAACGCGAATGATCTGTTGTTTAAGGGGCAGGTGTCACTCGGATAACCTAAACGTCCCCGCATGTAATAAGTGTATTAGAATTAAAATGTCGCGAAATGAGTACGCTTTATGGTTACTGAGTGTAATTGGAGAACCTTGTAATTCGCAACTCAGAATATGCGATATTTACATAACTTGTTTTTACTCGAACGAAGATGAATCAAATTAAAACGGAAATTTTCAGGTAAACGAACGCTCGTTATTTACAATTATTTCACTTCGATAGGCTTGACTTTATGAGTCACGCTCTAGGAATTGAATCGACTGACTAGGATCCGAGCGCGATCGCACATAAAGTAGATGAATCAACTGTTGTAGCACATGTTTTAACACGTAGGCGAACTGACATATGAGACGTAGGCGAATCGACTCTAACCGTAGGCGAACAGACCGTAGGCAAAACGACCCGTAGGCGAAACGACCGTAATTCCAGCTTAGGGAAGGACAATTTGCAAAAGTGAATTTGGGCAGGGGGTGGAAGGGAAGGGGTGAGTTCCTGCTTTGCTTTTAATTTGTTCCGGGCTTCCCATATGATTGTTGTTGTTGTTTTTTTTTCCAGCTTGGAGGTAGTTACCTTAATGGCTGTTGCAGCTGAATGCATTTTTTATGTGAATTTTTCATCCCCCCTCACTTTTCTAATGGTTTCCAGCATTCACAGCCAGGGGGTTCATTAAGGGCCGGGCACCGGGCAAATTGACCAGCTGTGAACACGACTTTGCCCGTCTGCTTTACATCTCAAAGAACTTCTTTTTAATACAAGGAACGATCAAAAACAGTTTTAAGTTACAATCGTGCCCATTTCTTGATGAGTCTTATCGAGTGTAAAACATACTTTGCCGTGCAATTTCCACTTTATTACACACGGCATGAAATCCCCTCGTTCTTTGTGTGTTAAAAACAAGAATCGCCCCATAACACATTGCGAAAAGAACTGTGCTTCATAAACGACCACCTGAAATGTATCAGTGTTGCGAGCACGTGAGCATGGCGGCCCAGAAAAGAACGCGTTCGATAGCGTATTATATTATTTTTCGACTTTAACCAAAGGGCCTCCAGTAGAGAAAAGACCAAGAGATGAGTAGACTTCTTTGTGATTTAACCTTTTACTTGCCTGTATATATTGAATGGCTTAATCATCATGTTCAACGAAGCAAAGCGTGATTTTTATTCGTCTTATGGTTTACGCCAATGAATTAATTTTCGGTGCGTTCACGTTAAAGCAGTGCTCCTCCCGTCTAGTCATTGAAATTTTAAAGATAAGTTGATTACGACTCAGCTGCTGACGGTGAGTTTGAGTAAAGATTATTATGAGCAGAGCTATTAAAAGAGAACCAAAAAGTCCAATTTGTGTGGTGGGTATTGGTATCAAATCATGATTAAATTGTCTAGAAAAGTTATCTTTTTTTGGTTGTTGAAAGTCATTGTCTGCAGCTTCAAAATGCAGGAAAACACATCCTTACGACTATAGAATTTCAAAATTTTCCGGGGGAGCATGCCCCCGGACCCCCCTAGAGGGCAAGGCCCTCCGGGCCTTGCCAATTCTTTGCCCGGGTGTCAAACTCAGTTGCCCTCCTGTTCAAAACCTTAATGAACCCCCTGCACAGCTGCATTAGACTACACAGCAAATAATTTTCTTCTCCATTTCTAACTTTCAGGGCTTCTGATCAGAAGGTTGTTGTGTCTGGAGTGGTCACAAAAGGCAATGCTGATTTCAAGGCAGATGCAGTTAAAGTGGCCCATGAAAAGCCTTTGCCGCAACATGATAAAAGACCTCAAGGTCCTGGAGGGAAGGCCCCTGGAATGGTTATTCAACAACCGAGAAAGCAGTAGAAATTTTTTAAATTAAATATAGTGATACACTGTGCAGTGGAGTCACTGCATGGGCTCTCAACTAAAATAACAGCAACTTGTATAGTTACTGATAATTTCTCCATAATAATTATTTCTTTGTTCTTGTTTTGAGGTTTTTACATCTGCTTTGCATCTTTGGGTTGACGGCAAAGGTTATTTGATTTTACAGGCAATAAAATAATTAACCTTCCATCACATTGTTTTCTCCCTTTGAAGTACCTGTCTTCCAGCACCATAAATTAAATCAGAGAATATTCACTTAGCAGTCTGAGAAACTACGGCCGACAATCCATTGTTCTGAAAATAATGTACTGACTGTACTGACTGCCGGCTTCACTGTCACAAAAATGTAAGTACAGTAGCTGCTGGGGTATTAATTTGTTAAATTTGGCAGTTTATATGTGATTGGAATGTTTTCGTAGTGTCTTGGTGTTGCAATATTATTAATGCAATCACCAAATGACATAATGCAAAAGACTCAAAAGACACTGAACAATACCCCCCATCACAAAACAAAAGCCAGCCAACAATGGTTTCCACAACAGCAAGAAGGAACACTCAATGTTTTTTGGCTTCCTCAAACCCCCTGTACACCTAACTTGTAGCTTAAAACTTGGTTCAGTCATTGTGTTTGTTTTGAAATACCGTCTAACCTCTCCTTACAGATACCTCTATAATACGGACACCTCTCTATTACGGACAGTTCGTTTAGTCCCAGAAATGCCAAAAATCATACATTCCCTACCTCTATAATACGGACACCTCTGTAAAGCGGACACTTGGTTCTGTCCCTTTGGTGTCCATATTAACCCTTTAAGTCCCAGTAGTGACCAAGATCAATTTTCTCCTATCGATATCTATATTCTGTCAAGAGATAAGTGAAGAGAATAAATAAAATGATCACCCAAGAGAAAATACCTTGCTCTATTATCACATTATTCTCTCAACTAATTCTTAATGAAATGTATGGAGATCACTTTGGGAGAATTTGTATGTGGATACTCAGGCTTAAAGGGTTAAAGAGGATTGACTGTATTGAAAGGTTGACTGTAGAAGATCCAATTATTGATTACACTCTCATTCTTCTTTGGAAACAAAGATGGTATAGAAAATACAATCAACATAGGATCAAAGATCTGTAAGAGCTTCTTTCCATGTACCCTTTCAGTTTCTCTTTTGCCTGTCTGCCTCATAGCCTCTTTTCCTAAGAATGGTAAACTTAGTAGGTATTTTTCTCTTTTTCATTTAAGTGGATTAGAATTTGAGTTGTAAAGATGTTGAGAACACAAAAAATCATAAACTGATAAAACCTTTCTCTTCTTCCCAACATTTTGTCGTTGTTTTAATTTGTATGCCCATGCTTGCCCTTTTAATAAAGCATTATTTCCACACTCTGATTTGACAGCTTATTGCAGTCAAACTGTAGTCTGAGAAATCCTGGTAAAAATTACCAAGCAACTTGATTGTATAAAAAAAATGCAAAAAAAGGGTTAACTATACACCATAAAAAGTAACCGAGTCAAACTTTTGTCTTGCCTAATTTAACCCATATGGGTCTGCAGCAAATTTAATAGTAGTTAGGAAATCAGATCTTAAGAATTTTCAAGACAAATCCTAGAGCAACCTGAAAAAGTAACAAGATGGAAAGGTCATTTGTACAAAAAGAACAATCTTTTCTTTTATTTACTAACAATACATTTATTCATACTTGGTTGTAAAAGATAAAAAAATTTTTGGTAGATATGAAAATTAATGTTAACAATAAATTTGGACACAAACCACCCTAAAAAGAGCTACACTTTTACGAAGAATAGTGCTTACTCAGAAAATGTTGAAGAAAATGCAAAAAATATATTTCTCACTTGTATGGACCAACTACAGTAGTATGCCCATAGTGAATTCTCTTGCATTAAGAATAAATTCCCATAATGCTTATTCCAAGAGCCTGCTTGGTTAAGACAATGACATGTGCCCTTGGTGTCCACATTGAAGTTGTATTTACCTTACATGTATGCTAAGCTTTGTTAGAAGGCCTTTGTTCACAATGACAATATTTTGATGAATCGCTACAAAATTCCAGCACAAATACAAAAAAGTTCTAACAATACAATTTCACATTAAGAAACCAACTTGAAAATTAATAAGACACAACTCAGCAGACTCACATAATCGTTTTTGACCAAATTAATCTGTACAAATTTTCATAGTATTAAACTATTTTTTCTAGTAAAATATAGTAATAAATTTACTGTGGAACTTAGCATTGTGTAGAATAAGTTGCACTTCGATGGTGGAAGGAGGCATATCTGACAGTTTTCCCATGAAAATATCCAAGTTTCTGCAAATAGTCTGAAACTACCTCTGTTGTCCATGTTTAGCTTACCACTGCATTAGGTAATCTGTGGACTGAAATCCCAACAGAAATTGCATTATTTTGAGCAAAAACCAAAACTGTTAAATCTTTATTGATAATGTCAAGAATATACATGTAGGCTTGATTTCTGCCGTCTCCCATGATGGATCCAGTCTTTGATCCTCCCGGGGAGTGTAGGGTTATTTTCCCAAACAGCACTTGTTAATCGAGCCTATCAGGAAAGCTAGTTTATCAATGACACTCCTGGGAATTTTGCCAAAAAATACCCTTTGAAGCCCCCTAAGTTGAGCCATTATCTGGTCATTGTCTGGCTTTAAAGAGCAAAAGCCGCCCAAAAGAAAATAAGGGCAAAAGATTTTGAGATTTTAGTCTAGCTAGTACTTACAGAAAATCTCTTTCTCGTTCTTGCTTTGGTATCCTTTGTCAGTGCATCCAAGTAAGGATCTGTTATCACAACTTCTTTGCTTCTAAGCCCTGATCTATGGCTGCTACCAACAGCATAGCTGGCACTATGTGTTGAATGGGGGAATGCTCCATGGGCACTTCTTGAGCCTGAGCTGGAATTATGCCTGTCTGCACTGTTAGCAGCTTTCTGTAAAAACAAGACTTAATTACCAGTAATAATCATAACTATAATAACAAAATTCTCAAATCTGATTGGCTATCAACTGTCCTGATTTCAGCACTATAGGACAGTACGTGTGACACCTAAATAATTGGACAGACGTGCCATTGTGTGCACTTAAAATGGCTTTTTTTTCACTGCTAGCAAAAACCTCTCAGAATTTCTTGTTTTTAATTCAAAAAAATCCTAAAATATCACAAATTTTAAAGTTTTGATTAATTGGTAACAGAACTTTGTTTCATTTAATTCGTTCTGTAATCACTCCTGTGATTAAACAAATTGGACTCCCACTACGCATTCATCTGATTTTGTTAATCACTCATGTGTTATTATGCAGATCGAATTGGACTCCAGTCAGTCCTATTACCATTATTAATCAAACATTCACTCTTCAGGGTCCCTCAGTAACTGAGTCCACTCAAAATTAAGATTGCTTTTGATTAAGGTCAGTAATCTTACCAAAACTAATTGCCAATTCCACACTACCAAATGATTGATTAAAAACTGGTTTCAACAAGTTTTCCAACCTAATAAAGGCTCCTTACTGTATGACAACAAAAACTGCCCTGCCAGGCCAGAAGAAATATGTCATAAAAGTAACTGTTGCCATGAATCAACATAAGTTACCATAAGTGCTTTTTACAGCCATGTCAGGGAAAAATACATTGTTAGATTGAGGGCTCGCTTCACCAGCAAAGGCAGTTAAAGAAAATGGACTCTACTTTGACCCTTAACCAACAAAGTTGAAAATATGTAAGTCCAATGTTTTCAATTAATTTTTGTTCAGTTACCCTTGATTTATTATGCCAAGTATTATTATGACAAAGTTTCATCCATAAAGTGACCACAACAACCAATGGCTGTGCCCCCGGGGAGGATTCCTTTATTTGGCCTACACAGGTCTGTACCACTGAACAGGGTATGCCTTTCAGGGTCTTGATCAGTCTTATACAGGGTATACAAATTCACCACTTTGTGTCTTGAATAGGGTGTCTTATTGTACCAGAAGCCATTAACAGAGTGTAAAGTTTGGTGATGAGCACTGTCTCATCTGTGTTACCGACAATTTTTTTAAAAAAAATCTACTTTCATGATGTTAGTTTGAAAATTGCATAATTCTGTATGGAAAATGAAATGAATCAGGTTCATAAACTAAGGTCACTAAGTCTTAAACAGGTAAGCAGAATGGACAATTTTTGTCTTTAACAGTTTAGGGTTTGAAGACCTTAGCAAGATACCTCCACCCAAACTTCCCTTGAGTGTGGGGGAGTTAGGGGCTGTGCCAACTCCTGACAAGTCTTGGTCTGACTGTTGTCAAAATTGCTCCAAGAAAGGTCATTGGAGATTCTAATGGCGACAAGTTCTTCAGTGTTTGGTATTGCTCAGAAACAAACTGGAATTCTGTGGAATGGTGTGTTTTTTTACAAAACAAAATCTGCAATATTACATTTTCACAACATAATGAGTTGCAAAAGTTACATGTCACAAAATTGCCATGAAAATTATGGCAAAAGTAAAATGATGCAAAACTGTCTGAAACATAATGTAAAAGGTAAGTAAAAAAATGCATGTTTTGGCATCTTAGACTGACCAAAGTATCGGGCTTTGATTGGAGCAATTTTTTATTAACTTGAAACGATCATTTCCGCTAACTTGAATAATAATTACACTCTAGCTAACTTTAGATTAAAGACTTATTAAATTGTTTAAGGAAACTTTAGTTTTATTTTGGTAGACCATTGAAATCCAATTTCGATCTGAGACAAACTGTAAACATGAAAGGGAATTTGTGGCATATAAAGCATATCTCTTCCGTTTAGAAAACAGCTAATTTTTATTTAACTCTAGTTCATCTAAACCTAGCTATGTGATTGAACTGGGATAAAGAAATAGCCAGTTCAGAAGTCTGGCCGTGAAATTGCTGATAATGGGGTTCGAAACTTACCAGCCATGACCAGTCTGCTGTTGCGGTTCGCTTATCAGCGACAAGTTGTTTTCTTAAACCTTCATTATGCAGCTGAGACATGATGTCAAAGCATTAGAATGGAAGTTTGTGTTTGTCCAAGAGAAGCAAAGCAACTTGAAAAGTACGAACGATTGCTCAACTTGGTCTCGATCGATACAACAAAGCGTCTCCTAGTGACGTCACCACGTGGTGGAATGCAGGGAATGCGCGCGAAATTCGGGAAGCGGCCTCGCCGCTTGCAACCAGCGGATAGTGCTTGCTGTAAACTTTAATCACCTGACAAAAACGAAATGTAAATTGTTTTTTTCTTGCCATTACGCACTATCAAGAGCCTACATATCCTGAAGCCGGGCCTGAAGTGACTTCATCGCCCGTGCCGTGAAGTTCGCAAAATTCATGATAATTAGGGATAGTTCTAGGAGTTGTTCTTCCTTCTTTGTTTCCTCGCATGTTCGCTATGAATGCTCTTGACCTTTGGATCATGAAACCTAACCATTTAAGAACAAAAAAAAACAGTTGTATGAAAGACTCTTGTCTCTTTCCCCTTGTCACGCAACTGATGAGCTCTTTACATGACTGTGATCACGTGATCAACTTTCGGTAAACAGGAAAACAGTTCACTTATGAAAAATTTTGTTTGCACAAGCTGAAAGAGCATATTAAAATTAGGTAACCTGAGAATTTTCAGCCGTATATCTCAAAAGCATCGATTGCAACGGCCGCTGACGTTAGTAACGCTTGCATGGTTTTCCATCCTTGAAGACTTAACTGTCGTTAAATCTTTCCTTAAGCATTTAAGGGCTCAATTTGCTTGTTATGAATTAAAACGCGATTTGAGTCCTGTAATGCTTAAGGAAATATCTCATGACGAGGTTGCAAAATTACAAGGATTTGTATGCAAAACCATGCAAGCGTGATGGATGGCAAAAGTTTTTTTTCTCATACAAATGCTTCCAACTTTCGGTAGCCGTTGCAATCGCTACTTTTGAGATATGCGGCTGAAAATTCTCAGGTTACCTAGGGCGCGATCCATTCAACCAAAATTTTCGGAAATTTCGGTCCAAAACTCACTGGATCGGTTCGGTCCAACCGGAAAAGTTTCGAAAAACCGGGTCCACCTTTTGAGGTGGACCACTTTTCCCGGTCGGACCGGTCGGAATTTTGGTTGAATGGATCGCGCCCCTAGTTTTGAGATGCTCTGTTTTCGTGTCTAGCGAAAGTTGATCACGTGATCAAGTCATGCAAAGAGCCTATAATTTATTGATCAAGCAGCAGCTCACGATTGAGAAGGCTGCCAAGAAGAACTGATCGAAATTTTTTCAAGGAAGGGTGTTTAAAATGAGTGATAGAAGTCAAGAAGATGAGGAACTATCACACACTCAAGTTCTCGCTGATGTCGAGAAACAAATCGAAGCTGTTTGTAACCAACTACAATCCCTACAGCGACAAGCAAGTAGGCTTCGACGACTTCGTGAAGAGCAGGAAGTATATGATTCCATGTCGGAGAAAATGGAAAGCATGCAGCTTTCAACGAAAGTTAACCTCAATGTTGGTGGCCAACATTTCACTACAACCGTCCACACACTGACCAAGGAACCAGACTCGATGCTTGCCGCTATGTTTTCAGGAAGATTTCCAATGAAGCCTGCTGAAGATGGAACGTTCTTTATCGACCGAGATGGAACTTACTTCCGGTATATTCTGAACTATCTTCGTGATGGAAAGCTATCTTTACCAGAAGGGGCCACTTTTTTTGAAGAAATCGAGGCAGAGGCTGAATTCTACCAAATTCAAGGAATTCTCGAGGAGCTAGGGAAGCCCAGACCTTTGAAGAGCGCAGATCGAGGAGCCAAAGCTACAGAGCCATTTGCAGAGTCTGAAATACTGACTCAAGAACATGCGAAGATATTGTTAGGTATGGTACCTTATAAAACTGGCGGGTGGCGTCTTCTGTTCAGAGCTTCTCGAGATGGTTTCGCGGCGGAGTCATTCCACTCAAAATGCAACAAAAAAGGTCCAACCTTGACAGTTGTGCGAAGAGGAAGCTTCATATTTGGCGGATTTACCGAAGCAGCATGGATTGGTGGGCGCAGGCCTAACAGTAAGTAAAAAGAATAATAGGGAGCTTTTAAGCTTAAAACCAACGATGACGGCGACGGCAACGAGAACGGCAAAAAAGCAATAGGTTAAGATTAGCAAAACATCAACTTTGCATAATGTATTTTTACAAGATTCATAATGGGACATATATGCCAAAATATTGAGAGCCATGCGGCAGGTAATAACGCCCCTTTAATTTTCCTCTTTCTGCCAGGTTTTGCTAAACACGATGGTCAGAAATAGGGGTTTTTTTCTTCCACATAGGTCACAGAGACGTGAAGAATTTTCCAAATGGCATGAAACTTGGCAGGATTATTGCTTGAGAGATTCTACATTTTTTGGTGGCAGTTTGACAGTCTTGATGGACATTGTGACGTCACAAATAGTTTTCAAATTTGGTGTCAAAATTTAGAATTAAGAAAATCGTCAGAAAAACCACATAGAGGTGTTTTGTGATCAGAGTGAAGCTTTCCAGTGAAAACCCCGTTGAAATCCATTAAAACAGGACAAAGTTACAAGCTATTTTGTGACTGACAATAAAAGAAGGAATTTAAAGAATTCAATTGTTTTCTTACCTTATATGGTAAAACTTTAGGGAGGTTTCCAGTTCAAGACAATAAATGGAAGTTAAAAGAAAAATAGCGGATAACACACTGGAGAAGATTTGTAGTTTTTGGAATTTCCGACTCTATAAGTATTTTCACTTGTGACGTCATCAATACGTAAATATTACGTCAACATAGTATGAAATGCGTAAAATGCAACCTGACACCCCATGTCCCAAATTTAAAAAACTACAAATTTGCGTTTATGCATGGTTCGCTTAGTTTCCTTACTGTTTCGTCTAATAAGCTGGGGTTAAATACCCCTAAAGTTTGACCATATATGGTTAATTCCATACATTTGGCGGGAAATTTGAATTTCTTTAATTAGCTCTAACTTTGCAACAATTTAACGGATTTAAGTGGGGTTTTCACCAGAAAGCTCCGTTTTTTTATGGATTTTATTTATAAAGTTATTTAAGTCAAACAATTAATTCCAAATTTTAGCGCCATGTTTCAACGTCATTTATGACGTCATGCTGTCAAGCAAAAGTATAAAACTACCATTAATACATGTGGACTTTCTTTTACTATGTTCCTGCCAAGTTTCGTCTCACACGGAATATTTCATAATCATCTATGTGTCTCTAATGAGTCATGTGGGAGGGAAAACACTCATTTCTGACCATCGTGAAAGGCGGGACCGCGGCCTGGTTTTCAAGAGATTTTTCGTACAGCGGTAATGGGTCATTACCCTGTAGGTACTTCATATATGATTCCTATATATATGATTCCTATAATGTACCGACTCGGTACACTATAAGACCGCTCCACCAGAAGAGTCTATATCTCGGTACACTATAGGAATCATATATGAAGTACCTATCCATTACCCAGTCAATTCCAAGCCTGCCTATCTAGACTGCGAGCAGTCTCTTATTTTTCTTTGCAAAGTTACCGCACGAAACCCTCCCCATACATGAAGTACCTACCGCGCGAGCGTCGAAGCCGCTTGCCGCGAGAAACGAGGGCGTAAGCCCGAGAATCTTTTGTTCTGTCCGGGGACAACGAAGCTGTAACTTGAAACGATTTATAAATAGAACATAAACAACTAAAAAAAAATAACACTTTCTTTAAATCCGGTAAGATTGCCTTGAATTCGTTTCCCTTGAGGAAATTTGCAGCAGTTTCTTTCTGTAAGATATCCTAAAACTTTTACTGCTTGGTTCGCTATTGTTTGCTGTTGGTTGTGACGCGTGACTATTTAAACTATATACATTTCATGATCAGTAAAGGATATTTTTCCTTTGTAATGCATTATGCCTTAAAAAGACACGTTTGGTTTTCGTTCCATCCCAACCCTATCCCACAGTATTTTTCGCATCGGTCTAAGAAATTGCTTTCTCACACGAAGGAAAAACAATCATTAAATTTCATCGTTTGAAGATTTTAAAGGAAAAGACTCTTTCTTTGTGAGCGAATGATTGAGACAGAAAGCTAGGTGCAAGATATTTCAAAATTAATATAAACTAAATGTTTTGTGCGATCAATGCGACGATGAATACGTTGACGGAACGGCTCATGTTTTAAAAGCTTGTCGGTTGTTTGTTTGTCATTCACTATTTTAAATACCTTCAAAAGTGAGAAAGGTCGTATTAAAATTCTAGTCAGTTATAATTCTGTCAATGATATTTTTATCAGATCAATGTGGTCTTGTTTGCAATAATTACAACTAGCGGCTAGGAGCGATTTGCGAAGGGTGCTTCACGCGTTTTGATCAGATTATTACAAAGTCCAGCTTATTATTTGGGCGTCGCCTAAATAGAGTAATCGAGTTTGCTTGTTTTGATTCAAAGTTGCAATAGGCACGCAATACGTGCGAACGTAAACAAGCCAACTAAACATTCTTTTTTGCGCCCACTACTTCCAAGCGCTTTTCTGGGCGGTCTATGCGTATGAGCGAATTTTTAGGTCTCCCGGCCGTTCGTCTCGAATACGTCACCAAAATGCATTGAGAAGGCCTGGGAAGGCGCCGTACAGGGGCTGTAGGCAAATGGTAATCAAACTACTGTAATCAAACCACCGGAAGTACTATTTACGGAAAATTTATCGCTGGACAAATATGTTGGCCTGTGAAAACAGCCGTCTCTCCTTAATGACGGCTGTTTTCGCAGGCTGTCAATATGGGGAAATCAGGTCAATCAGAATCGGGCTACCGGGCCGGCGGGCTGCCACAGACCGTGGGTAGCGGGCCTGTTTTTAGCAAAACCCCGAGGAAGAGAGTGCTAGCAAATGCCATTGTCATGTGAAACTACTAAAATCTGCAAAGGTTTGTAAACAAAAAAGGTTAAAAAGGTAACGATCGCAAACGTTAAGAAATAGCTGTGATCACATAGAGATGTCAGTATGTCAGTTGTAGGGTGGGGGGAAGTGAGTGCCTTTCAGTCTTAAAGTTTGTATATATCGACAAAATTTACGTGTCTGTAGTTTTGAATGAACGTTCTTAAAAATTTATAGGTTTCTAAATTTGTTGACTTCAAAGGCCTCCAAGACTGAGAGGTCCCTTAAAAATTGTAAAATAACATTTAATTCTCTTCTCAAGGTGAACGTTTTAAAGGTACCCAATCCAAACAAGCGTTCTTGTTCAGTTTGGTTAATCCATTTGGAGTGGGACCGGTTCGAATACCAGATGAGGAAAAAGAAAGTGGTTGTGTTATTGTCTGTGATAGTAAGTATGGGCCAACGTTTCAGCAGGACCTTAAAACATACGGCAAAAGCTACTTATATATTTCAGATAATGCCAATGCATCTCCATCAAGTCACTCTTGTCTACATGGAAAATTTTCTTGTCCTGAAGGAAAACCAGGAGATTTGTTCTTCACGGGCAGTAAAAATTTTACCGTCGATGATTACGAAGTGTTCGAGTTATACTAGTTGTAGGGCATGTACTACAGCTATAAGCAAAGTGCGGCTAGTTGGAGTGTCTAAGGTAAAAATTAATTCTCCGCGTGTGAAATTCAGAGTTGCTAATTATAAACTGAAACATTATCAGTATCGTTTATAAACTGAACTTTAACGGATTGAAATTTAGTATGGACGAAGTTGTCTGAATGTCTTCAAAAATAGCCTGCGTTCAGACGCCTCCCATTTAATTTATTGCCAGAGGAAAAGGGACCTCTTCCGCGTGCGAGCAACAAACCGAACAAATGTCTGCATGTAGGCTACTGTTTTTATAGGGAAAGCTACATGAGCTGTTAGCCGAAATGCACAACATAAATTAAGCCACCCTCCTTTCTTATATAGGCATGACAAAAAATTAAATACAATGACTTTACTGGGCAGTTTTCTTTTACATCCTACCTTGTTTACGGAGTATATAATTATCTTGTCTATTTCGTTCCGCTGTTTGTTGCAGCATGTAAATCGTGATGTTTTACGGTACGCTCCCGAAAACTTAATTTTAAGATATAACTTGGTACCCTGTTGTACACACAACCAACCTTCTCCATTTGATAGTGACTGATGTCAATGCCGATTGCATATTACCCGCATCTTCTAGACCTTATCTACGATAGTTATACGGATGTGACTAGAATGGATACCCCCAAATCAGTTTTGTTATCTTTACTCAAAATACATGATAGGGGTCTTATAACTTAAACTAGTAAAGAAGAAAGAAACCGGAAGAAAACAGTAGGTAGTATCTATGACTAGTCTGAAACGGGTGGGGCGAAGAGACGGATGACATTTCAGACTAATCTATCATAAACTCGCGTCATTTGATGTCGTTCGCGTAGTTGTCGCCCTGTGGGACGTAAACAAACCAACTACGCGACAGACAAGCCACGCGAACGACTTCGTTAACGCTAAAAGCCATGTAAAAGAGAGAAATCTCTGCTCGCAGGGTACTCAGTACACCATAAGGGCTGACTTCCGACTCCGGACACGTTTATAATTATTACATTACTGAAAGCTAACTGTTTTAAAAGAGTGCTTAACACCGATCTGACTGTACCTCGGTGCGCATGCTAAACCCTGTATTCAACCCTTTTTCTTGCACGACTGTCTCTTACTCTGATTTCCCACTTTTCTCAAAAATGTGTCCAATACATCCGCATAAATGGTTCCCTACAAGCAGTACATAAGGTGTCTAACCTGATTTTAAGGTACCGTAAAATTTCGAAAATAAGCCCCGGGGCTTATATTTTTCAAAGGCCCTTTTTGAGGGGCTTATTTTTGGAGGGGCCCATATTCGGAGGGGCCTATGTACGGAGGGGAATTTGCGTTTCAAAATTGATTGGGCTAGCTTGTAGTGGGAAGGAAATTTACCATTTTTGCTTTGTTTTACTTTGTATTCGAGGGCAAATTCCAAGTACAGCCCCCCGGGGGGCTTATATCGGGAGAGGCGATTTAACGGAGGGTTTTCTGTGTGACGATTTTGGGGGGCTTATATTTTTGAGGGGCATATTGTCGGAATTTTACGGTATCCTATCTGGCCGTTATCGATACCCGCCGTCTTTGCACGCGCTTAAGGACTGATGGGATAAAAAAGAAATGTTACGTGGTTTCTCAGGGGGCAAACAAGTGATAAAATCTGCCAATAAAAGAAATCGCAGCCGAGTTTGTTTATTCTGGAAGACAAAAAATGAAGAACTCTTTATATTAAAGACGATAATGGCAAATTATGGGTGGAAGTGACCATTGTTACTTTTTTGAAAGCAGTAGCCTGACGTAAAACATATCGAAATTTTGCAAGACCTAAAGTGTCGTTTCGTTTTAAGAGAATAAGCACACTCGACGGCGATTACTCGTATTGGCAAATTTTATCACTTGTTTCCCCCTGAAATACCACCTGACGTGGCTTTAATGCCATAAATCATAAAGAGCGTGCAAAGATGGCGGATATCTTGAATGAGGTCTGCCAGGTGGTTATGAAGATCAAAGCCAATCAAAATCGGAGAAATGTTTTGAATGAATAATAATTATAATATCATGATAACTATCTCCCGAATGGGAGATCAACAGACCAGTGGTGTATATACCGTAAAATTCCGAAAATAAGCCCCTCCAAATATAAGCCCTCCAAACTCGTAACGCCAAAAACCCTCTGTTAAATAGCCCCTCCAAATATAAGCCCCCCGGGGGGCTTGTACTTGGAAATTGCCCTCAAATACAAAGTAAACAAAGCAAAAACGGTAAATTTCCTTCCAGCTATAAGGCTAGCCAAATCGATTTTGAAACGCAAATTTCCGTCTGTAGATAACCCCCTCCAAAAATAAGCCCGGCCCTCAAAAAGGGCCTTTCAAAATATAAGCCCCGGGGCTTATTTTCGGAATTTTACGGTATATCAAGAGACGCGAAGCGTCAGACAGCGCTATGCACCGACCATGAGGGGAATGGTTCTTGTTTTTATTTACCGAATTAGGCGGCCAATAAATAAGTAATTTTTGCCAAGACGTCACGCAGTAAGAGCTTTGACAGAGCTTCGCTGATTTTTCGACTGAATTTTTCACTAAGGGACCGGTCATTATTTATCACCTGGGGGGGGTCGGAGGATTTTGGGGGGGATCACTTGATTTTT